TCACAAATTTTCAAAAAATTCGATCATGGATTACAAAAAATTCGATCATGGATTACAAAAAATTCGATCCTGGATTACAAAAAATTCGATCCTGGATTACAAAAAATTCGATCATGGATTACATAAAATTCGATTATGGATTACAAAAAACAAAAAATTCGATCGTGGATAACAAAAAAAGAAAAAAACAATTCGATCATGGATTACAAAAAACTCTATCACAGGTTACAAAAAAATAAAAAACAAAAAATTCGATCATGGATTACCAAAAAAAACAAACATTTCGATCATGGATTACAAAAAAAACAAACATTTGGATCATGGATTACAAGAAAAAAAACAAACATTTCGATCATGGATTACAAAAAATTCTACCATTTACAAAAAAAACAAAAACAAAAAATTCAATCATGGATAAAAAAAAAAAATTCGATCATGGATTACAAGTATTACAAAAAATTCGATCATGGATTACAAAAATAAAAATAAATAAATAAATAAATAAATAAAAATAAAAAAAAATATGTTCTTCACAGAGTCATCTTCATAAGCCATTTTAACTAAAAAATCCACCTCTAAGCGAATAAATTACATCCAATAGGGTACATTTTCTGATAAACAATAATATAAGGAATCAAAACCCTAAAGTTTGAACACATTATTTCTAATATATCACGAACAAAAAAATCAAATGGCGGAAAAAAAAAAAAATAGCGGAAATTTGGTTTTGCAGACATCTCTGTGTTCATGTGAAATTCCATGCTGTAATTGACCAAATTACATAAAATTGAATATGTTAAATCATAATAGACACAATAAAGATTAAAAACCTTACAAATTGAACTCATTATCTTCAAAATATGCAGTTAAATTAATCATATGGCAGAAAAAAAAAAAAAAACCCAAACTTCTTACTTGGTTTTGTGAACCAGAGCCTTCAATCTCCAAAAAACTCTGTTTTTTGCAACGATTATCACAAATTAGTAACATAAGGTTTTGATGAACAACTTTACGATCACAATGCCTACAAATTTTGAAAGATTTATGCCTTATTTGGCATGAAACACAAGGAAATGCGGAAACTCTCAAAATGCAAGTTTCGTTATCCAAAAACACAAAATTTCTCAATCATTTAATCCGTTTAAAAGCTGAATAAAGTTGTTTAAAGCCTGCAAGTTAGATCACATGCCAAAAAAAACAAAAAAAATGATCAAAAAATGACAAATTTCAAAAAATCCCAGTGAAGAACATTGTGCAGCCTGTGTTTTTCACGGGACTCGCCGATTTCATACTGTGAATCGGCGAGTGACTGTGCAGAATCGTCCGGTTCTCTCTAGAACTGGATGATTCCCGATTTTTTTAGCGGTTCGAGCCGTCCATGACGATTCCCGAGTCGAACCGGGTGAGTCCGGTTCGACTTGGCGTTTTTTTAAAGATTGTATCATTCTCTACTCCTTTGAAGCATCTCCTATTACTTTCTTTTCCATAAGGATCCGGTTTTGGTGGGGCCGGGATAGAAACCGTTATTACACAGGCACTTACATCTGAACCGTCCATGTAATCTGACGGTGCAGAGCGCAGGCGAAGGCAAAACTGGTAACCTTCTTTCTACTTTTTAGAAAGTAACCCAAGAAACCCCTCCACCGAATTATAGAAAGTGCCTTTCTCACTCTTCATCTGCCTTCCTACGTTTGTTGCCATTCTCCTTCCCATATGCACCCATTTCTTCGTAAATGAATATGCTCTATTTCTCTGTAAATGAGGTTCTAACCATTCTCGTTGCAGTGAATAGAGTAGATGATTGGCATCATTAATTATAGTGATGCATTTCGGAAAATCAGAAGGGGGCTTTTCAATTAGGGTTGAAAGCCAAATCATCGATTTGCTTTATGGTAGGTAAGCAGGGCCTTCTTGTTTGTTTTCTCTCTCTATAAGCCCATGACTTAATGGCAGCAGGGCCCTTCTTGTTTGTTTTCTCTCTCTCTATATAAGCCCATGACTAAATGGCAGCAGGGCCCTTCTTTCTTTGTTTTCTTTTGTCATGCTCTCTCTCATTGCCTTGGGGTTTAAAAGGTAGTTTCTCTCACATAAAATTTTCGAGGATTTATTTCTAATTATAGTTGATTGTTCTATTAACCAATCTTTAGCTCTACTTACTTGGCTTTTTCTGCTAATTTTTTTCTAAAGCATTTTCCTTTTCTTTTCACCACCCTCAATGATGACTTCAATGGAGGTGACCCTTGTAGTTCTTATCGAGACCTTTTTTTGGCTCCCATAACTTGTGGCCGTCAATGGCACAAATGGGGAGAGCTATTTGGAGATGTGTGACTATAGAGAAAACAATTTAATTGATCAGCTTGACATCGAGATGTGAAAAAAAAAAATTCAGTAAAAAAATAATACATCTTGTAATATATTATCTGGACTGTCTATTTTCAAGACTTTCATGCAATTATAGAAGCCAACACAGTGAAGAACCTATAACCCGGCATTTCTTCGATTGCAAGGTAAAGAAGAAGTTCATGGAGTAGTACAAGAGGGACACCCAGACCAAGTTCTAGGAGAAAGAATGCATGGAAAGGTATAGAGTGTTTCAAAAATAAAAAATAAAATAAATTCGGTTTACCAAAACGCAAAATTTAAAAAATTTTGGTTTTTCAAAAACTAAAAATAGATAGTTCAATCTTTTTTAAAAAAAAAATGTGTTATGAAGTTGAAAAAATAAACATCTGTGTAATAATGGAAAGTTTCAGGTATTTTCATAAAAGCGAAAAATATTATGGATATTTATATAAGTTTCCTTTAAGATTATAAGATTATAATTAGAGATGAAAATAGATTTTTGTGCTATCGTAAAAAAAATTTATATCAGAATTGCATCTTATGACAAAGTTTGAAGGTGCGCCTTACTTTGATTGTTCAAAGTTGTAACCTTATGCAAACCACACCCTTAAAGTTACAATAAAACTGAAATGTTGGAGAGAGAGGGAGAGAGGAGTCTTGCTGGTTATTTGGCCAACTATGTGGCTCCATATAAAGTAACATTAGAGTATGCATGTCGATAGCAGGAGAGTCCTGGAAGCCTTTGCTATGAGTTGCGAACTCTAAGCAAGATAAGTGGAAAAGCGCTCATCAATGGCGTTGAGGCCTCTCTCGGCTCTTGCTCTAACTCATTTGATGAAGAACCAAAGCACCCAAAGCCATGGGTCAGAGAGATTTGGGCTTCATAGCGAGAGAGAGGGCGAAGACGTGATGCCAAGGACACGGAGGAGTTGAGTTCGCTGAGAAGTGCACTTGGCCTAATCCTTTTTCGACACAAACTTTGTCTCTCTAGTTTGATCTCTCCCTCTCTTTAATGGAGATCTAGGGTTTCGATTGCACCTTAGAAATTGTAGATCTAGGGTTTGTTATAAAGCCAAGAATTAGCGTGTCTTTGTTGGAAAGGAAGTTTCAGGCCCTTATGATTAGATTTTGTTTTTTTTTTGTTGGTTATAGCGTTTTGTGGCCGGATTTTTAAAGGGACCTTGACTGGATTTATTTGAGGCCCCGAATTTGGAGACATTTTGGTTTGGAATTGGATGCAGTTTTTGCTGGAAAAGGGGTTTTTCTATTGGATTTGCGGCAGAAATGAGATTCATTTCATTCGCAGGGAGAACCACTTTGACTTTATTTATTGTTTTTTCTAGTTCAAAGTAGCATTGGTTTTTTTTGTAGTTAAAAAAAAAAAGAGGAAGAATACGAGGAAGCTTTATCAGAGAAGAACCCCATGGATTGAGAGTGAAGCCTAAGGTTAAGGGAGTTATTAATATACTTGGTTGTCGTGCCTTCATTTTCTTGGTGACAAAAGATGCTTGCAACTATTGCAGAGTCATTAGCCTGTGAGAGCTATTTTAAGAGAGAGAGAGAGAAAGAGATAGAGGGTATCTTGAGTTGACCAATTATCGATGGATGTAGAGGAAGATGTTGAGGGTGATGGCATGCCCGTGGTTAGCATTGGGCTTGATTTGACAGGTGGTCTGTTAGCAGAGGCACCATTCCCAGTGGTGGGTTCTTTCTTCCCCCCATCAACAGATATATTAGGGCTTTCGGATTGGGCTAGGAGAAGCTGGAGTTTGTCTTATGCACCTAAAGTCAAAATTGTGGGTGATAATAAGATCATCTTTTTTTTTCTTTCAAAGAAGGATATTGCTTCAGCGTTGAAAAACAAGTTTGTTCAGGTTAAAGGGTAGTTGTTGTCTTTGGAGACCCCATTTGCATCAATCATATCTTAGTGAAAGTACTGCTTGGGCTAGGTTTCTTGGTATTCCTATTCATGCGTGGTCCATCTCTATTTTCCGTCTTCTTGCTAACAAATGTGGAGAATTTTGTGACATAGACAAGTTGGCTTTTTCTGGAGTTGATCTTCGATCTGTGAGGGTACGTATCTGAAAACTAGAGGGGTTCATCATTCCTAAATTTTTAACTTTAAAAGTGGGGAAGGAGTGTTTCGCTATTACAGTAGTTCCAGAAGTCAGGTGGAAGGCGCCATTATTAAAAAAGCTGAGAATATTGCTACTAAGCTCAATGGTGAAAATGGATGGCAAGAAGTGATTAGGCGTTGTAGATCTACACTGAAAAACTTAGTTTCCGATCAGTTTAAGTTGGAACGGACCCGAAAGTTTAGACACTCTACAAGGAAATTTAAAATTTTAAAAATAAATAAATGGTGGATCCCAACTAGATGTTTAACGCCTTCTACGCCTGCGTTACAGCCAACGGATGTTAACTCGCCTGAAAGTCTACAAAGGTTTGCTGAGGGTCCAAGTAAGGTATGTGAGGGGCTACCGAATAAAGTCATGAAGGAAAGACAATGTCAAGTTGGCGGGATTGATGATGAGGTAGTGGAAGGATCATCGGGCTGTCAGGATAAAGTCGCGGGTTTATCAGGTTTGCTATACTCGACAGTACTATGCAATTAAGCTTTCTTGTCATTGGCAATAAGAGGCGGTGATGGTTCGTTATCTAAAGTTTTTCCTTATCTCCCATACTACAGCTTAGAGCAAGGAAATTCTGTCGAGAAGTCCAGCAAAGGGGAAGCTCTTTTAAGAGAGATGCAGAGATAAGAAGTGACACCTCAGGTAGTGTTTGCTCTTCTCGCTGCCATTTATCCATTGTGTTTTCGTAGGGCTGTCAAGAAGAAGCGCATCTCTCAGCAGCTGCCTTTTGATCCAGTTGCGATTAACGCTCTGGCCCTGGTAGTTATAGAAGAGGATGTTGAGCTAATTGAGGAGATGGAGGTAAATGAGAATGTAGAATATGTGGTGACCTCTACTGAGGAGGAGAACAATCTTTCAGAAGATGGAAATCTGGCTCTGGCTACTTTGGACTCAGAGGACGCTACCCCACTCTCTATTATCAGGGAGGAGCAGCATCTGCTCCTTCACCTATCCAAGGTTAAGCCAGGCTTCTCAGAGGCGAATGATGATCATGCAGATGAAGGAGAGGATTATGTACCAAATCCTTTGATGGACGATGATAGCAAGGCAGCTGGAGAAGTAGTGAGTTCTATGGTGTTTGATAGCTGCATGGACTTCAACCTTCCCATAGGAGTCATTTTTAAGGATCTTATAGAGAAGCTTAAGGCAAAAAAAATCCAGAGGGGCTTGTTGAAGAAGCAAAATCAGGGTACTGGGGATGGGGGTGTCTTTGATGTCACTCTCATGAAGGACGTAGCATCTAAGAAGAAGAGGGATAAAGCCCTGTGAAGGACACGTGATCGTCTATGAGACTAATTGCGCGTGGAAAACGAGCTAATGCAGGTGGTGTGGTGACCAGAGATGTGGAAGTTAATGAGGCCGAGTCTTCTTCTTCTTTATCGTCATCAGAGGAGAGTGATGGGGAAGCTGTGAAGGAGGCATTGCTACTTGAAGAATTCAATTTTGGGCCAAAGGAGGATGGTTCAAGTTCTTCTCACCCTTAATTTCTTATGTTAATGTTGTCTTGAAACGTGAGGGGTCTTGGTGATCCCAAAAGAAAAAAAGATGTTTTGTTTCTTGTAGGTAAATATAGACCTACTGCTCTAATTTTGCAAGAAACCAAACTCTCTAGCCTTACTCTGTTTAGGGTTAGGGAGGTGTGGGGTCATAGAGCAGTAGTCTTTGTGGGTATTGATGCAGTAGGACAGTCAGGGGGGATTTGGATTTTATGGGATCTTTCTTTGCTTTCCTTTTCAGTTGTTAGAAAATACTTTGTCTTACTTGTTGGCTTTGTGGGTCCTCAAGCTGATTTTCAATGGGGGCGTATAAATGTTTATGGACCACAAACTTCAGCTCAAAATGTTTGTTTTGTTTCTGATATGTCAGAGGTTACTGCACAGTTTCAATTTCCTATTTGTATTGGGGGGGATTTTAATTTTACAAGATGATCGGAAGAAACTCTTGTTGGGGGTTCTATCTCGTCTTCGATGCGTTTATTCAATTGTTTTCTTGAAGAAAATGCTCTTATTGATTATCCAATAGTAGGGGCTAAATACACTTGGACCAAGGGAAGCTCTATCGTGCTTTCTATGTCAAAAATTGACAGGTTCTTGGTATCCCCCGAGTGGTCATAATTTTTTCGATTGGCCTCTGTGAGAGCTCTCCCTAGACTTTCTTCTGACGACACTCTGATTTTGTTAACCTCTAAGGGTTACTCTGGTGGTATTAGACCTTTTCGGTTTGAAATTGCTTGGTTAAAGGAGAAAGATGTCTTATAAATTATAAAAAGTACATGGGAGAACTCAGTCACCACTGGATCACTTGATTATCAACTCCATAAGAAACTGATAAATATTAAACATGAACTCTTGAAGTGGAAAAAGGAAAAGTATTCTTCCGTAAAGTGCAAGAATGATGCGCTTCTGCTCTCTATTGACGACCTGGACTTTGTGATGCATCAGATTGGTGAATGGCCTGAGGAGTTGGCAGAGGAGAGAAGTGAAAAACTCAATGAGTTACAGGAGCTTAGGAGGGTGAAAAAAGTATACTAGAGACAAAGATTGAGGGTTAAGTGGCTTAAGGAAAGGGGTTTAATCACAAAATATTTCCATTGTATTATCAATGCAAGGAGACGTCAAAACAATATTTCTGGTTTGTCTATGAATGGGGTTGATCAAGAGGACAGTATGGGTATATCTCAAGCTGTTGTTGATCACTTTCAACGGGCATTCTCTTCGGAGGTCACTCACGCATCTAGGCTCAGCAGGGTGGATTTTAGAGTTATCCCACCTCACTTTATTTCAGCTTTAGATAGGCAGGTGTCGATGGAGGAATTAAAAAAGGTGGTTTTTGCCTTACCTAGTAATAAGGCACCTGGGCCGGACGGTTTCCCTCTTACTTTTTTTATAAGTTCTGGAGTCTTATTAGTTCAAAGCTTTTATAAATGACAAGGGGCTTTTTGAGGAGAGGAGAGTTGTTTAAGGGTGCGAATTCTAAGTTTATTGCTCTAATACCAAAGAAATCAATGATCGCTACTTTGGGAGATATTAGACCTATTAGTCTGCTCACGAGCTTTTACAAAATAGTGGCTAAGGTTCTGGCTAAGAGACTTAAGGAGGTTCTACCTGAAGTCATTTCTGGACCACAATCGGCTTTTACAAAGGATAGATTGATCATTGATAGTGTATTAATATCACAAGAATACATTCACTCTAAAATTATTGATGGCAATCTTGGAGTGGTCATTAAATTAGATATGGAGAAGGCATATGATAGAGTAAAGTGGAAGGTTTTACTTGAAATAATGAGAAATATGGGTTTCAGTAATAAGTGGAGATAGTGGATTTTGGGAAGCATTTCTTCGACACACTTCTCGGTTATCTATAAAAGTAGTCCGGTTGGTTTTTTAAAGCCACCCGTGGACTGCGTCAAGGAGACCTCCCTCTCTCCATTCCTCTTTGTAATTTATGTAGAATGCTTCAGTTTAATGCTCTCCAAAGTGATGTGTAATGGTCATTTTGTAGGTTTTCAGCTTCCTACTGATGACCCTTGAGTTTCTCATCTTCAGTATGCAGATGACACACTTTTGCTTTGTGGAGCTCAAAGAACTGAAGTATCCAATATTGTTGTTTTTCTAAAGTGTTGTTAAAATGCTTTAGGCTTAAAAATAAATTTTACAAAAAGTAGCATGGTGGGCCTTAATTACATAGAGGATGATGTTTTTGTTTTGGCTCAGGAATTTGTTGCAAGATGGATAAGTTTCATATTACGTACTTGAGTTTGCCTTTATCTGTTGGTAGGCTCCCCATTGCAGTATGGGACAAAATTCTTCTACGCATTCAAATGAAGTTAGATCTCTGGAAGTTCAAATACTTGTCTTTTGGGGGCAGAATTACGCTTGTTAAGGCATGATTATCAAACCTGCCCATCTATCAAATGTCTATTCTTCAGATCCCTATTTCGGTGGCAAAGATGATTGAGTCTATGATGAGGAACTTCCTTTGGGGATCTTCTGTAGATAAGAAAAAGTTCCACCTTCTGCGATGAGATAGGGTTCGCATACCAAAGGAGGAAGGAGGCCTTGGCATCAGAAAAATCAAGCTGATTAATTTTGCTCTGCTCTGTAAATGGTGGTGGAGGAGTTTGACTCTCAAAAACCATCTCTGTTGTGTAAAGGACTCGTCCATAGAGATATTAAATGATGTATAGGCAATAGAAGTAATATATACTTTTGGAATCAGAAATGGATAGGGTATTCTCCACTGAAATTCCTTTTTCCATTGTTGTGTCAAATAGTGGTTAATTAAGATGCATCTGTCTCAGCCAATTATGCTCACCGAGGTGACCAAATAGTCTGGAATATAGATCTTCCATATAATAGAATTCCTTATTTTCTCTTTTCTCATTTCTCAATTTTCTGACCTTTTTAAGATGCTGGAAGATGTTTATATTCCTTTGAATGCAAATGATGAAGTATCATGGGAAATTGATAAGAATGGCATTTTTTCAGTTAAATCCATGTATTATTTACTCTCCAACGATAGTGTAAGATAGTCTATGCCAATTCTTGCTAGGATTTGGAAGTGGCCTCTTCCGTTGAAGGTTCAAGGATTTTTATGGTTGGCAGCCCAAGATCGAGTGCTCACTATTGATAATCTCATTAAGCGTGGAAATATTCTACCAAATATTTGCCTCTTGTGTAAGGCGGATGGGGAGTCAGGTAACCATCTATTCCTACATTGTACCTTTGCTAGCCATATTTGGAGATAGTTTTTCACAAATTTGGGAGTTGCATTGGTAATGCCCCTCTCAGTAGTAGGGATAATAGAGGGCCTCTCAATTCCACTTCCGAAGCTAGGGGCTATTACTTGGCAAATTGTTAGAGGAGTCATTCTTTGAGAAATTTGGAAAGAGATGAATAGGAGTCTTCGAAGGGGTGACTTTGTCTTGTGAAAAGGTCTTGGATAGAATTCTGCATTGTATTTGGTCTTTTCTTTCGATTACTCTGGGGGGCAGGATATCACTGAATTAGATGTTAGAAGAAATGTTGGTGATATCTTCCACTTGAATTTCATCAAATGTAGGCCTAAAGAGAGATGGTGGCCACCACCACAAGGGGTATATAAATTAAATTTCGATGGCAGCTTGATAGGCAACCCGGGTGTATCTGGCTTTGGAGGAGTGATTCGAGATTAGGATGGAAATGTGGTTCTTTCTTATGTAGGTCCTCTTGGTGTTCGGATTGCTAACTTCGCTGAACTCTCTGCCCTTCTTTTTAGTCTGCGTACTATTGTGGACAGGAAATTGGGGCATGAGTTCATTCTAGAGGGGGATTCTCTTAATGTGATATTGTGGTGCAAGAAGGAACAACTTCTCCCATAGGAACTGAAACCATTGTTGTTGCAAATCTTGGATTTATCCACGTCCCTCTCTGTTTCCTTTGTTCACGTTTATAGGGAGGCGAACCTTGGCAGATTTCCTTGCCAAAGGTGGTACTACTCTTTCTGATGTTTCCGTTTCGGAATCTGTAATTTCATTCTAGAGCAATAAAATTTAGTGAACTTTCTATCAAAAAAAAAAAAATTACAATAAGGGATAAGATATTTCCTATAGGAATTCAATAAGACCATTTATATTTGATATTACGATTAATCTTAAAAATTGGTTATAAAATTAGTGGTGGTATGTTTTCCATTTATTAGGCTCAAAGTTCAACATAAATTTTTTTCGAACTTTGTGATGCATCCAAGTTGTCAGATTGCACATTGGATGGCTATTCATGATTGAGACATCCTTGTATCAAAGGTAAATAGTCTTATAGTAAACAGTTCATTCTTATATTATGCAATGATCTTATTTTATTTTTTTTATTTCCAAATTTCCCCTAGTTTAGATACTATATGTCTGAGTCAGTGTTATCTATTTATTTATTTATGGGATAAAGGTTTAGTCACCCCAATGTCTGAATCTATCTCCCATTAAAAAGGAATCTAAGTGAGTGAATTCAAACATTTGGTGTCGGAGTCTACTCACGTAGTTTATTTTAACTCAGCGACAAGTTTGGATACTGGGTGTCCAAAATAACAATTGCACAAATTCAGGTACCCTCTAATATGAACTTTCTCCTTTATTTTAGGGTAAATATCATTGAATGGGTTGAAACCTCACAAAATCATTCAATTGGATTATTCCAATAAATGTTTGAGGGGCGATTTTTTTGTTTTCATTTCCTAAAAATAAAAAAATTTAAAATTCCCAAACCGCACTTGTCAAGAATGGGAAGCTTGAATAATAAGGGGTTTTCAGTCATTTGATGCCTAAGAGGCCCTAATCTATTTATTCATGGTCACAAATAAGGAACGCACTGTTTAGGGTTAGTAATGAGGAGCAACTAGACATATTTTTATCATTTGACACCCAAATGCTTAGCATGTACCAAATTATATAAATACCTTTAATTGTTCCTCATTAGAAAACTTGAATAGTGAGTTCCTTACTTATAATCCTCAGAAGTATTTCAACCTTCAGTTTTGACCTATTATAGGTAAAATTATTAAAATATCCCTAATTCTTCACGCTTCTCATTCCTAAACAAGGGTAGCTTGGAAGTTTTTAGAATTCCTTTTGAGGAGGCATCAAATGAAATGAAAATAAAAAGATAAACCCACAGTTGTTAATCGAGATCATTGGCTCCTTTAATTATAAACTCTTCAATGATACTTTCCTTGTTATTTAATTTGTGGAGTAGAGTGGGTATTGGATGGTTATCCAAAATCACCCCAACATTATTTTCCTCCTAGTCAAAAGGCTTGTATGATCATTGTAAAAACTACCATTGGTGGGGATTTTATAAGCCACCGTGTAGAGAGAGAGAGAAAATAGTTATTATGAGTGAGAGAGCTTTTGTCGAAGTTGAGATTTGGCGTTCTAACAAAACCACAGCTACTATTACGCCCTATTTTCGTAGCTTTCCTTAGTAATTCCCATGGCAAGCAAAGCCATGGTGATGGAGATGGATTCAATAAGAATGTTGGTTGGGCCTGTGGATGTAGCCCGATTAGTACGAACCACATACATTTGTGTGTTGGTGGTGTTTAGATTGTGGTTTGTTATATGATGTTGTGGTTTTGAGTTTTCATATTTTACTTCTCTTATTTGCATACCATTTTACCCAAATTTATTACAGAGTTTGAGTTTCTTGAAATTCATTTGTTCATGATAGGTAAGTTGGTTTCAAGGTATTAAATTTGTTATATTGGAAGTTAACACAACAAATGGCAATCGAACAAGTCTAGGTTCCCAATAAATGATATTAGAGCTCAAAGGAAGCGTGTACCAATTTAGAGAAAATGACTAGATACAAATTTGAAGTGGCAAAGTTTAATGGGAGGAAAGATTCTTGGACTTTATAAATTAAAAGTCCATGACATATAGGTACAGCAAGGCATTTATAAAGCATTGCAAGGAAACTTTCAGAATCTGGAGAGTATGACGGATAATTATGGCGAAGAATTGATAGAAGCGAACATATAAAATATTATTTAATATATTAGGAGAAAAGACAAAATTGGATTTATGGCG